AGGTTTCCTTGCCTCCCAAATAGTCTCCTGTTCTTAATTTAAATCAAGAATATTACGCACTTACACGTCTATTGTGATGCCTCTCAGTTTAGGTGCTCAGAAAGGCAGCTGCTGTCTTGGCACATGTTTGCTGATTGCTGGAATTGACTTGAACTTTTAAAAATGGGTATGTAATTTTTCAGAACAATACCCTGACTCCTGATGCCTCTTGACTGAAGCAATCAATTGTGCTGGAAATTTTCCAGGTCTCAAAAATTCATACACACCTCAAGGGCAGGGCATGCATAATGTAAATGTGACCTTTAGAAATGCAAATCGTGAGCCTTGGCTGGTGAGGTGGGGATAGTCTCTTGTGAATAACAAAGCAATTTATAAATTATCCCAGATGGCAGGCAGGGTGAGGGTGGAGGGCAATGTCTTTCTGCCAGATAGTCTGTGGGTCTACAGAAGGATCAGACCAACAGTCTGAGGAAATTCCAGGTGCAGCTAAATCCGAATTCTACCCTGTAGATGGATATTTGACTGGGAGTGTGTGTCAAGAGGTGCAGATGGTGCAGCTGCCCAAGCTGTTTAGGAACCAGCATCTACTACCATATATACTCGTGTATAAGTTGGCCTCATGTATAAGTTCAGGGAAGGGCCAAATGGAAGTGTGTGTTCTAGCTCAATACCTAATGAGATTATTAATTTCAATCAACCTGGTCGTATATTTCTTTGTAAAATTAATATATTTTTCACTTTTATAAATTACATGCTGCATCCTTTTTGTCTTTATGGAGGGCACACCCATACACAGGAATTTTAAAAAAAAATTGTTTAGTCTATATAAAATAAAAAGTTTTCTGACCCTCAAATGGTGGACATTCCTTATAATAAGGCACAAACTTTTTGACCTACAAATAAGGGAAACCCCTTTTAATAAGAGACAGAAAGCAACCCTCCTAAACTCTAGTATTCAGAAGCATTGCTATTTCATCTGCCTTCCAATGCTTGAAAACACTGAAAACATTACTGCTGGATAGGGTTGCCAGTTCGGGATGTTTCCTGGCCTAAACCTGGGACAGCTCCTGGTGATATCATTAAACATTATGCATTATTTACCAACTACAGTCGCTCACAACTTGTCATTCAAACACACGTACAAACACACATGTACACACAAAACACATTTTCCAGTTTGAAAATTAAGGCTTTGCTAAAGGGCTTTTTCCTGATCATGATGAATGACTCCTCCTCACTTGTTTTGGGAGAAAGGATAAGGCACATTTGACTAGCCTATTTGCTTCTAGGCAGAAGATGGATGAAGATCAGAGCAGAGAGTTAGTCCTGGCATTACAATGATTGCAAGGAAAGGAGGAAGCTGACAAGCATCGTGGTAAGTCTTTGTAAGTTGCAGCAACAAATCGATTAAGCCTTGCAAACTGTAGGAAGCTGGTGCTCTACCACTTGAGCTGGAGATTTGCACACAGTCCTTTCCTTTTGCCTAGATCTTCATCTCATATTTGGAGGTGACCCACAAAAATTGGAAACTCAGGGCCCTGAGCAACTCTACATGTTGCAACCCTACATATTGGACAACAACTCCTAGAACCCCATAGCTGGCCTGGCCAGTGATCATGCTGACTGAGGCTTAGGGGAGCTGGAGTCCAAAAAAGTAATGCTATCAAGGATCAGTATGCTCAGTATACCCCTGGGGACCAGGGTTTGAATCCCAGCTCAGCCATGTAAATCCACTGGGTGACCTTGGGCAAGTTACACTATCTCAGCCTCAGAGTATGGCAATGGCAAACCCCTCTGAAGAAACTTGCCAAGAAAACCCCATTATAGGGTCACCATAAGTCAGAAATGACTTGAAGGCACACAGCAACAACATCCTCAGTATGGGATTCTGGTTATCTGTGGGGATAGATAAAAATAATTCCAGCTAAAGGTTCTGGCAATGGTTAGCTGTGAGAGAATATAGTGAGGCAACCTCTGGCCAGTCTTCTGACAGCCACCATTTTCTATCATAGCTTTTTTAGGAAAGGGTGAATAGAGTAGGAGGAAGCTTGAAAACTTCATTGCTGGTATTCACGACAAGATAGGACAGGGGGACACAAGCCCAAGATTTACTTTGTGAACTTAGTATGAGAACGAGCAAGAAGGCAGTCTTCAAGAAAACTGGAAACAAAGCCTTTCCTGGCTGGTGTAAGCCATGTTTTCAATTCATGTGGGACTTTTACTGTAGTGTAAGTCCTCATCCTTGTTCACAGGGAGAGAGAAGGGGTGGAAATCTCCATTTCTTCTGCACAACAGCCTTTCTTCACACCACACCTCAGTTAGATTGCAAAGCAACAAGTTTCAGTCAGGGTGATACATTATTAGCATCATTTCATTTCCAGGGTCACAGCCACTTTGGCTTTTATGCAAGCAGAGCAGATCTGATATGTTTTGATGAACATGTAAGAGGGCTGTTCCAATCACAGAGGCCTGTCTTTTGGGGCTTTCCGACACCACTTCCTTTCTTCCCTCTTTGTGAAAGAAATTGAATTCAAAAACCACATTAATGTACTCTGAGCTCCTACAGTCCCTTTAGGTTTCCTGTTACTGTAATAGAACACATTGTCAGATTTTGTTTATGTTCATGCATTTTTGAAGAGAGAAAAAGTCCTTCCAAGAAGATTCTTTCATGTTGCAGCCCTCCACATACAATTTAATTACATGTCACTTAGACAATTAAAGGAAATTAGAAAATCCTTCTTTGTAATAGGATTGCACTACAAACAATGGATCAGTATTCTTATGGAAAGAAGCCAATGACAAATGGCAAAAACAGTATGGACTGCATAAATAAGAAACAGGAGGGGGCTTAGAATTTGAAAAAATATATACCTCACTATTGCAACCTGTCCACAAGTTTCTGGCCCTCATGCAACTTCATTAGAATTTGTTACAGTGTCTGGTGGCCAGGGTATGAGATAATATTTCCTTGCATAGCTCTTTAGTCTACCTGCAGATCTTTTCCTCCTTCCACTGCATGCTTCTTTATGTGTATTCTTCTATGTTAATATTATCTTTTTGATTATAAATTTGCAAAATAGAAGAAAAACAAATGATTTCCCTTTCTTCACAGATAAAGGAAAAGAATAATTGCTATGATATCAAACTACAAGAATGTGTGATGTTGACTGGGATAATACCCTGGTCCATTGGTGTGAAGAAATGAAGGTAAAAGATAAGTTTCTTCATTAATTCTTGTGTTGGACCCAAGATAAAAATCCCAATATTGTCCTATGTGTGAACAGTTTAGTGATATCCTTACTCATTTCTTCTGCATAGCAGACAAAGGGCAATTAAACTAGTCTGGAGCCGGAGCCATTTCCAAGGAAAAGATGAGTTGTTGGGCAATTTACTGAAAGGTAAGTAAAAGTGTGTATGGAGGATGTTTCTGTATAATTGCTTTTGAGCTCCCCTTTATCCATACCAACAGAGCTTGCTTCAAAGCTTTGTGCAAGTGTTCAAAGTATCCTGCTTGTTTTGCATTCCTCTATCTAGTCTACACACTTCAGCCTGAAAAGCCTCTGGTGAGTGGCTCCTTTTGGGATGTGTTGCACAGAGTTTGGAAAGTACAGTAACTAGCTACAGTTATGTTTGAATAATATAAGCTTTGATCCTGCATCACCAGATGTAACTATGATGATGGAGCTTTGTCTTCGTTACTTCTGGAGCCCTCAAACTCCCATGATTTCAGACTAGTGGCATCCCTATTGATGGGTTTCCGAGGCACTGCAGATCAGGGCTTTGGTATATAACATCTGCAGCCCTCTCCTGGTTGCAAGGCATTTTAAGAACAGGCAGCTGGAAAGACATCTTGGGTCTGGTCCCAGCTGCCTGTCTCAATGTGACCAAAAGAGGACAGCAGTCATCGATCATTTCCTAGTGCCCTGATCTGCAGCACCTAGGGAACCTTTCAGTTGGGGCACTTCCAGGTTGAAGAGTGGGATCACATTTGATTGTGAATGATTATAAATATGAATCCCCTGCAGGGACAAAATCCCAAGATCAGCTTACAGTCTCATAATTATTGAACAGGATGCCCACCATTATTTTTTTTAAAGTAGGACTTTGCATTCCTTTTTGTCAAAAGTAATGAACACATTGTTACTACCAGAGTAACTTTCCCAAATAGATATCCCAGCCATCAAAAGATAGCCATCCTGCTCATCCCTGATTCGGCTGTAGCTATTGTTATTTGTTTCTTGTTCTTTGTGTTATTATTTTAAATGTGTTTTAAATTGTCATTGTATTTTAAGGGGTGGGGTGGGATTGTGGGATATGAATGTATATTTTAAAGTTGTAAGCTGCCCCGTTGTGTTACGCAGAGAGGCGGGATAAAAATAAATGTTGTTGTTATTATTATTATTATTATTATTATTATTATTATTATTATTATTAACTAACTACTTTGGGGGTCATGGGTCTACAATTGCTGCCACAAGTAAAAGTCACTCCCCAAGCTCTGTCTCACATTTAGGCTGCTGTAGAGATAATAACAGATCTGTGCCAGTTATCTAAGCAGTGCTACTTCCTGCCAGGAAATTTTCTATAGCCCTTGCCTGCTCATATAAAGTGAATACTTTCAGCTAATCAAGTGTGACAATACAAAGGCACAATAAATATGTACCTAATAAGACACTGTAATTGGAGTGATAAAACAGCTTCCTTATGTAAGGCCCTCTTTCAAGAGAAGATGGTTATATCAACCTCTCAGATTTCCTGTCACCTTACAGTTACATCTTAGGCCTCTGGTTATAAGGAGCTTGCAGTATTTACTAGATAGTGATGAAACAACAGAGGGAAGAAAAGTGCAAGACTGGTGAATGTTATATGTATGTATTCCCATTTGGGAATAAGAATGAGGAAGAATGAGGAAGACACGGCAATGTCAGATGAAGAACTGGTTTTCTTGGAGTGAGGTGACAGAGAAATGGCACCATGTATGAGTGTTCATACCTCTGATAGCCAGCATGGCATAGTGGTTTGAGTACTGGACTATGACTCTGGAGACCAGGGTTTGAATCTCAGTTCAGCCATGGAAACTACTGGGTGACCTTGGGCAAGTCACACTCTCTCAGCTTCATGGGACAGCAACGGCAAATCTCCTCTGAAAGAAACTTGCCAAGAAACCCTCATGATATGTTAGACGTAGAGTCGCCATAAGTCAGAAATGACTTGAAGGCACATAACAACAAATGAAGGCTCCATCTTCTTAAAATGTCCTGGATAGAGAGAAGTTGGGGCAGGAGCAGAACATTGGAGGTACAACTATAAGGAAAATAACATAGAATTAGAGGTCTAGATAAATTAGGCCTTACTGTAGGAGGCATTCAAGCAAAAACCTCAACTTCATTAACATGTGCAACTCTGCATGATGATCTGATTAGCTCTTACAAATCATTAAGCAGTAAATGTGTAAAGGCACCACATTCCACATATCAAATATGTACACAGTTAAATTAAAGGGGAGTGAGAAAAAATAAAGATAGTTGGATTTCTTTGCAAATAGATGTTTATAATCCCAAGCGATAGAAGACAATTTATTTCCAACTGTGACAGCCCTGAGTAGTCTTAGGTAAGCTCAATTCCTCTAACGGATGAACTGATCCTTCATTTCTATTATTTTGGACACCTTTGGGAGACACAAAAGTAGCACAGTCAAAATGTCTGTATTAACTGCTGGAAGTAGATGTTATGAAGGAAACATGGATGTTTATATATTCCAGCTCAAAGTCTCAAAAAATGAGGAATTCAGTAACCATATGATGGAACAACAGTAATTAGGTGGCTTGCTTTGTGGGCTAATGTTATAAAATTGTGAATGGTTGAAGTGAAGTAGTGGAGTCTCCTTCCTTGGAGGTCTTTAAGCAGAGGCTGGATGACCATCTGTCAGGGATGCTTTGATTGGGAGTTCCTGCATGGCAGGGGGTTGGACTGGATGGCCCTTGTGGTCTCTTTCAACTCTATGATTCTATGATTCTATGATTCTATGATTCTATGCTGGAGTTTGACTCTACATCCCATATTAAAATACTTGTTCAAGCATGATATTCAGCATTTGATACTTGACCAAGCAAACTCCTTCAAACTAAACTCACATACAGCTATTCACAGTCTAGGACAGCTTTCATAACCTTTTTATCCTGGGGAATTGTGGAGACCCCACTTGATCTTACAGATCCCTTCTACTGTGTGCTAATGTTGCCACCAATTTAATATGTGACAAACTGGTTTTCTCAGATGCCAGCACAATGGGTCTTTCAGATCCCACCTGCTTGGCACCGATTATATGTGACAGCTTTCCACCCACTAATTGAAGTGTCTTTGTTAATACTTGTTCTTATTACTCTTGTTGCTAACTGTAAATTACTTCAGGAAACTCCTTGTCGAACACAAAGAACAGAACTTTATTTACATTCAGAACTTATTACTGCATCTTTCTTGGTGGATAGTTCTCAAGCTTGTGTTACAGTACACAAATTACTTC